ACACCGGAAGATTGATCAATTTACGGAACACCAAACGGTGGTTCAAATGAAAACCAAGTCCGAATGTGATAACCGTGAGACTGTTATTTTTAGTTGTATAAGTAGTGTTATAATTGATTGTATTTTAGTGCTATTTGTAACTATGATGTGTTCTGTTAAAAAATAGCAATAAAATTTTTATTTAGCATTTACGAAAATGATAGCACTGTGCAATATTAAAAATAGCATCACACACAGAGTTAAAAATAGCATCAAATATGATTCTCACGGTTCTCACACCAGACTTAGTTTTTATTTAAACTGGCCTGTATGTGTATTATACTTTTCAATTGCAATTAAATATTTTCATGCTGCATCCTTAAAAAAAAAAAAAAAATGCATTTTTCCACACCAGATTTTGATAGGGTTACATCAAATGAGATCTTATAATATCAAAGTCCACTAAATCCTTCATGACTATTTGACAAAAATGTCCCAATTTATGACTTTCATCCCATTTACCTACTCAACTTTCATTGGTCAAGCAAGAACATGATTTGACTGGTCTAATTTGTTATAATCTCTCAAGTACTTTCTATTATTATCATCAAGGTAACCTCTGTCAACAAGGGCAAACCTGCAATGTATCTCAGTATATAGTTGTGCTTTGTCGTTTCGAGAACGTTCACGATCAAACGTACCAGCATCGATCAACCGGCTTAGATTAGAGAGGAAAATAACTCTTAAAATCTTCATAAGAACTTGTAACATATGAAGCCCACAGATTTGCAGTTTTGTTTAGAAATGACAGCTCGAGCTCACCCGCATGGCCCGTAATTTATTGTTAACTGTCTGAGCCTTAGTTCTGACATGTGCTTGAACTCTCGCTTCCTCACACTGCAAATTCATTTAATTAACCTCTGTACAAAACAATAACGAAATCCGGACAATTAAGTCCCGAAAAGGGACTCTTTTTACCTGTCGCCTCCATTTCTTTTCGCACTCATCCTGTTAGGAGTCGAAACAGAATTAAGTTATGTAGACATTAGCACTAATGACAATGAAATAATAAGGACATGAATGAAAACACTGGTGGACATGACAAAGTACATCTCCATCCTCACCAAGGCTTCTTTTAGGTTTGCATTCTCTTCTCTCAACTCGTGTAGTTCTGCTTCAAGCTCCACCGTATAAGCCTGCCGGATATCACACTCAGCAACATTAACATTAACCGGAAAAAAAAAAA